AATTGAACCAGTTTTCGTAGGACTTCAATGGTTTAGTTTAGTATGTTCATTAGAACCAAGCACTCTATCGCTATACCAAGTAAATCGTCTAATTTTAATTTCAAATGTCAAAAAGGCTACTCATTTTTTCAAATTTTAGTGAATTTTTAAAATTGAACTTCTTGTAAGGCCGTTATATTTTAAAAAGTTCTATAAGACCATGATATAAAATATATCGCCAAGAAAAGTTCCATAAAAATCGTCTTATTTTTTTTTTCAACAGTTAATTACAGAAAATCGGCTCGGTAGATTTTTACCTAAAACTAATTAGTATCTTTCCTAACTTATATATTTCGAAGAGTTTTTAATTTTTCAAAATTGATTTGGTAGTATGAGCTTAAATGTGGATGAAAAGTTTAACACTTGTTTCCAAATTACAAAGAAACGGCTCGGCCGATCATCGCACAAAATTGACAAACGATAGTCTTCACTGGGATACATCAAATGATTTCTAATTTTCTGAAATCGGTTCATGCGTGTTTGAGCAAACGTTGATGGGATGTCTAATTTGGACAAATGCTAAAAAAACGATACTATTTTTTGCAAACTTTTAAGAATTTTTAAAATTAAACGATTTGTCGTAGGGCCGTAATGTTTTAGTATAAGACTATGGTATCCACCGTAAAAAAAATCATAAAAATCGTGTTTTAATGTTTAATGTTTTAACACTTTATTACAAGAAAACGGCTTGGCCAATCTTCACCAAAAACCAATCAGCAAGATTCCCAACCGTTATCTCTCGAAGAGTTTTTAATTTTCAAAATCGATTCAGAATTGCGAGCTAAAACGTGGACGAAATTTTTTTCACTTTTCTGCGATTTACAAAGAAACGGCTTGGCTGATCGTCGCGCAAAATTGAAAAATGCTAGTCCTTATCGAGATACATCAAATGGCTTGTGAATTTTTGAAATCGGTCCGGCCGTTTTTGAGAAAACGTCGAATTGCGTCAAAAAATCTGTTCACATACACACACACATATTTTATTTTTTGAAATTTGGTCTTATTCGATTCAGAATGACTTGAAACGTCGAGAAAACATAAAATTATCGAATCAGATTTTTTTATGAAAACAAACTTCTCCTTCGGGAAGTTAATAATTAAAATTTTATAATTTATATTGTTTCCTTTTTTTCTACTTTAAATTACTATTGAGTTTCAAATAAATGATCTTATGGGTTTTTTTTGTATAATTCAACAGTAATTCGCAAATGTAATTCCTCTTTATTGCCCCTGGAAATTCTGCAACTATGTTTGCAATTTAATTATCTGTCTTAGTTACATGTTGATTAGCCACGTAGCGACTGCGTAATTCTCTATTTTAAATATTTTATTTCATTGTTTTGTGTTTTTAAAAAATGTTGTTATTTATTACAATAATATAATTCGATAGTTGTCATAAAATAAATAGTAAATATGAATTGTAACTCATACTAACAATAAGTAACTATAAATATTATGTTAAAATAATAATTTTAATTTTTCTATAGGAATTTTTATGAGACACCATATAAAAACTACATTAATATTTTTTTACATATCTTTATATTTCAAGGTTTTCTGAACATTTAGGCATGCCAACAAAAATGCATATGTATGAACTGTATGGTGTATGTGTGTATGTTACATGTGAATACAATTTTTGACGATGATTCAAAATACATTTTACTTATTATAACAGGTGACCTATTCTAATAAATCTAAACTCTCGATTGTTGGAAAATTTTCGTAATTTTTCAGAAATTAAAAAAAAAGGTTTTTTCAAAATGTTTGAAAGTTATTCAAATTTTCATAAAAGCCAAGATTTCAAAAAATCTTTTTTTTTTTTAATATTTCGAAAAACAATAACATCAATGAGAAGGACTTTGGATGTCTTAATTCTATCTTGGCTCGATTAAGTTTTGTTCCTATAAATTTGTGTAAACATTCACATAAGTTATTTGTAAAATATTGTGATGACTTAGAAGGGTTGATGGCCCTTTCTGGGATAACGCAATGACTGCCACTTATTATTTTAGCATTGCGAAAGGGTTACTCCAGCTCCTTAACCCGACTTCTATGAACCCCCTGTAATTATCTGTGGAAACTGACATCAATAACTACACGAATGAAACAAAATGTACATTTAATTCACCTAATTATGATTAGAGGTGTGAGGGTATGACTGTACTTACGAACAGTCATGTCCTATGCCTAAATTCTAATATAGTAAATCATCTTTAAGTAGTGGTGTATGGCAACGCGCCTTAAGGCAAATTTCTGGAACTTCCCGTGTTATAACGAAATGGTCGAGGAATATTAAATGTTTTCAAATAGATTATCTTCTTATATATATAAAAATAGAGCTCTCGATAAAATGATCCGCTGAAGCTCGAAAATGGCAAAACCGATTTGGCCAGTCTTAGTCTTGAAAAATTCGTTCCGATCCAGAGAGTGTCTAAAAGGTGAGACATTATTTTAAAATCGCGTATAAACTTTATATTTTTAATTTGAAAATTTTTGTAGATGCGTTATTTAAATAAAACAATGGACGGTGGCTATAGATGCACTGGGCGCATTTGAATATTATGTACTTTTTACAATAGATTAGGTATAATGACCAATCTTTTAACCCAAAAGTAAACAGCTTATTGTAAAAATTGGAGATATGATCAATTGTTAATTGTATCTTTAGACACAGATAGAAAAATCATCAATTATGTGAAAGTATATGTTTAATGACCAATTGTTAATTGTACCTGTAAACCTGTAAGCGATGGTGCCCACAATATGTAGATTCATCCTGCTGCTAACCATGCTGTTAACAGACTGTGGAGTCGAATCAGTGAAACAGATGAAGACTTTTGATGTTTATGTTTATTTCATGATTCATGTACATGTTACATATAACTTGAACAACTGAACTTAAATATATTTCCATTTATTACTAAATACTACTGACTCATATTGTTCTGAACATTATGATAACTTAATGACGACTGAACTATATTGAAGTTAACTTATTGAAAATTTGATGACGACTCAACTCATACTGATCTTAACTCATACTCGTCTTAGCTTATACTGACTCTGAACTCATTCAGAAGCTTAAATACTAGCTCCCTCTAAGGTGTGTTCTACATTCCTAGATAATAATGATTTTTGACGTTGTTTACTCATTCTTTGAGTATTACAAAGTAACGACAATGGTCTTGCGGTTAGAAAGCTTTGGAAATGATACAGTTGGTTTGGATTTCATAACATAGTTTATATTTGCTCAAAGTCAAATTGGACCTTTGTGCCTCTCCCTGCTCTACGTGTATACTTTTTATTAAATATACCTTAATTCATCGAAAGTTACTTGAAACTTTTCAAAAAGCAGATCAAAGAAGAAATACTTAATTCGTTTTCTATCTCTCCTCGCAGAAATTTGAATTTTTTTTATAAGCTCAGTAGTATTATTAACTTCCCGTAGGGTTTTCGATTTCTCTACGTTTTGAAGGTTTTTGAACATTTTGGTATACTTCAGAAAATATGGATATGTGTGCGTGCGCGCGCGTGTGTGTGTGTGTGTGTTTTGTATGTCCGCATTTTTCGGCCATGTTTTCGGGCGAACGGATCAACCAACTTGAATGGTTCAAAATGCATTTGATTTCTATTGATAGAAAGATGTGCTGGTTAGTTTTTGGCAAAGGCAGGTCCAGCCATTACGGAGATACGGAGCAAGGAGTGCAGATAATACAAATCGAGTTTTTGAGAGACCGGAGTATCCGATTTGAATGATCTGATCTAACTAGTGGGGCGCATAGCATCGTGCCTTAAGGCAAATTGCTGGAACTTCCAGTACCAAAAATAATTTTTTTTAAAAGATTAACATTTTTGAAAAAAAATTACTCTTAAAAACTTAGATTTTTGAGAAACTATAAATTTTTGACAAAACTTTGAACAGAAATTTATTAGGAAATATTTTGGAATTTCTGAACTTTTTTCAAAACAATCGTACTGCTTTAACTGCATAGAGACGAAATATCGAAGCGCGTAAGTGCCGCGTCGCCGTCTAACGGATAAACATTGGTACGAATGTAAACAGAATTTATACTTATTGTTAAAATATTTGGTAATTTGATGTACATATGTCTAATGATCTTTTTTGACCGCCAAATGGCTTTTTTTACTTTTTTTACTAGATCTCCGAAACCGCTAGACCAGCGTTCATGAAAATTTGATCAGTTCTTCATCTTGTTAATACAAGTAAAATGTTTTTTGAATTATTCAAATCGGACGCTCCGTTCTAGACCTGCCTTCGCCATAAACTAATCAGCGTTCAAAACGTGGAGAAATGCAAAAAAAATATTTTCGATTTTTGGACCATTACTATAACTACCCTACGGGAAGCTAATTAACAAACTGACCGAGTGACGGAGTTACGGACTAACGGAGTTACGAACTAACGACTAACGGAGTTGCGAACTTACGGACTAATAGAGGAATAGCTAACAAACAACACAATCTGACCTTTGCTGGAACGCTTCTTTTCTCCTGGCACAACACGCACACCACTATACACTAAGCGGATCCAAGGTCTTGCGTCTGGACCCAACCGACCTCCTTGGAGCATATTATATTTGTTATTGAGTATTTTTAACCTGCGACTTGCACCTTATATTGCAGGAACTCTAGTAGAGATAGGTGGGGGATATCATTTGCACTGAGTGTTGTGTAAGCCTTTGGCGACAATGCCTATTGTCGTTACAATATGCTCATTGTTTAATTTGATAAAAGGACTATATTTTATAAAAAGACTATAAAATTACAGTATGTATTTATATTTGAAAATATTGAAGGCAGTTGTTATTTATCAAAGATTAATTTGTATGTTTAATAATGGAACGGCAAGTTCCATCAATTTCCTTTAAGCCATAATGTTACTAGTTTTTTTATTAAATCGCTTAAGTATACTTCTAAAATGAGTTTTTAATTTTCAGATATCCCAAATTAAAGAAATATTTGTTGGAAGTTGCGGAGAAAATTTTGTCTGTTCTTTCTGAAGCTGAAAATTCTGTTCTAGCTTTTTACAGTCTTCTGTCTTATACATATCGCATATTGCTATGATTACAATAATTATATATTATTGGTATTATATAATATATTTAAAATATACGTTATTTTAAATTGACTACAAATTAAATTGTTTTATTTTCACGAATTTGAATAATTATAAAATAATACTTAATAGTTATAAATAGTAATAATAATAATGAAATAGTAATATAAATAGTAATAATGAATCATGAAAAATAATAGTAATAGTAATAGAAAATAATTATGTGTTAAATTATTCGAGACTTGTTATAGAAATGGAATCTTTAAGAAAACAATACTCATAAGGACTTTTACTCGCTGATGCATCTAATACAGCTTATTTTCCTTCATAATATCTATATTAATAAACTGCATTTTTGTTCAAATTTTTAATGGAAATTTAGAGCTAGTCCATATATAAAAATGAATTTATATCTATTGCTCCGTGTGTTTGTGTATTTCTCATGCATTCATAGACCATACGTCCGATCCGTGCAAATTTGGGAAACAGTTAAGTATATGTTTTTACATATTCTCTGGAAATGTTTTGACATATTCTGATTAAAACTAAATGGTAGGAGTTGGTGGCTCTTATGACTTTTATTTTATATTTTTAGTCAATTTTTATTTTTTTTATTTTTTGATAGTGCATATATGAAAACATATAATCTTAAATTTTCACACCACCACATACTCTCATTTCATAAGAAAAAGTTTAATTTTACTTAAACAAAATATTTTATTCATATTTGTCCAACTTTTATACTTCTTTTTCAATCGATTTATTATTCTTCATAATGAAATGATCAATTTCATGGATTATTTTTATCCCGATCGATAACTGCTCAATTATTGTTGTTTCAGGGACGTTTTTCACTAAATATCGATTGTCATATTTCAAAATTATTTTTTTATTACGGGTAATCACATTAAAAATGTTTGGAATTTTTTGAAGACTTTTTTTTATATTTATTATAGAAATATATAAATTTATAATAAGATATTTCTAGGTTTATTAAAATATATTAAAATTTATGATTATCAAACTTATACAAAATGTCATGAACATTTTTTTCTCTCAAATTCCACGTTCACTTGTTCAAATAAGCACGTCAACACGTTATATTTATTTAGGGCGAAGGCAGTGTTGTGCGCCAGCACCCTTATATTCAATTATTCACTTATGTATGCTCTATGGACTCATCATCCCTCTATGGTGTTGTGTGTCAGCACCCTTATATTCAACACTTTGCTGTAATGACTCTACCATCACTCTATGGAATACCTGAACTACAACCCTTCAGGATTCCGCTCTATATATGAGCTCTATGGGCAATATTTTCGGCTCGAACGGAAGCCTCTAGGATGATGTGAAAGCCGGCACTCTCTTCCTAACCTCAGTGGCATACATTTGAACGCATTAATCATATATTAAATATAATTGTTGTTTGTTTGAAATATATCTTTGTGAAAGTTGATAGTTTTTTTTATAAATACCTCCTTCGCTAAAGCAAAATCTTAACATATTGGTGGCCAGCGGTGAATCGAATAAAAAAACGGGCTTGTAAGAGAGGTAAAAACATTGTGATTTTACAACAAGATATCAAGAAAAATCAACAGCGTCGCAGATAGCAAAGAATATAACGTGAAACGGACCCCAGAATTGGACACAAGGCCGCACAGCTTATGTAGAGCATTCCTAGCTATTTGGACAAAGGATCCGCCATTGGAGCGTCGCATACACAAAGAAGCGTCTTTTCTGACCGCCATTACAGCACAAAGGGAAGATAGTAACATTCATTTCATTATATTTGATTATGGTTTTTGCCAAATTCTAGACATTTCATTCTCTATTTTATGTTAAATACTTATTTTCTAATTCTAATTACCAAATTTTTTTTCTAATTTAATTACCAAAATCTTGCTTTGATATTCAAATTCTATATTATCTCTACATTCTAATTCTAATATCAATATATCATAAGCAATTTTATTTAAATAAGTATTTACCTTTGCTATATTATAGTACTCTTATACCAATTTTTATTTTTATGCTATATTGTAAGCAAATTTCTTGAAAATACTCTATCATACTACATCTATTGCCACGTTGTGTTTTTATATATTGTAAACAAAATTATTAATAATATTTGTATAATCTAGGGTATTTATGCTTGTTAAAAAGTACTGCACCAACCTCAGACTGCCACAACAAAGAGTGATCAGCCGTTCGCGCGATTTTATTTGACAGCTCTACAAGTTTTTTCTGGAAACAGGTAACCTTATTTCACATTTATTAAATTCAGTCTTTAATGATAGGCTAATCATCATATCCAAACCTTCTATTACGCCTGAGTTCCTTTCCTTCTTTCGTTACCACTTATTGAAAAAGTTACAAACATGTCTGCACTACAAAGAGCTATGGATGCTATAGATAGGAGTATCAACAGACAGTAGCGATGACAGGCGCTCATTATGCGGCTGCGCATGTATTTGTGTGTAAAAACGCTGTGAAGTTAGGTGTGTAAATATTCAAGTCTGTCGAACATTTTGAAATTTTATGAATCATGGGTATAGACACTATAGATAGCTTGCAACGTGCTTTCTTATCACTTGAGTCGTAGCCGAGTGGTAAGGTGATAGAATTCTAATTTTTGCGTCTGTTGTTGGAGGTTCGATTCCCGCTCATATTATTATTTTTTTTTTATTATTTTAATTTCATATTTATAATTGCATGAGTAAATAATATTAAAATTAATTGAAGTGTTTAATTAAAATTATATTTATTGCTAAATATCCGATAATAAAGTACCATGTAACGTGTGTATAAAATTGATGTGATGCTTATAATTATAATTAACTTTGTATATAATTATAATTAAATATGTTAACATATTTCATATTAAAATCAGCTATGATAAGGAAGAAAAATATAAGTTATATGCATATAAAAATTAATTATTGGTTAATTAACAATTAAGGGATGATACTTATCGCAAAATAAGAGAACTACAAAAAAAACAAATTATTCAAGTTATGTCCTTATATTAGCAGTGATAGAAAATAAATTCTAAATATCATTACTAATGTTTTTATGGAAATAGATTTTCTTCTGTGAACAAACACTGTCCAAAATAACTCGAAAGTTTTAATATATAAATAAAATCAAACAATTCATAATTAGAACTAAAGAATATTAGATTATTATATATAATTGTATATATATATATATATATATATATATATATATATATATATATATATATATCAACACATTTCAATAATGAAAATAATGAATATTTTAACCGCTGCATAATTTTTACATCTTTTTACTGTTTCAATTTATGTTTATCTTTGTTGGTACACCTACGTTCTTAAAAATTTTAATGGCTGCCGCATAATGAGCGAGTTCACAAATGTCATCGCTACTGTCTGTAGTCACGTGTGCTATAGATTGCTTTGATGGTTCAAGCAAATTACAGCTTGATCAATTTTTTCGTTCTTGTACGTATGCATTTAAAGTTGTTAAATTAAGTGATCATGATGCATTATTAGATTACATTCTATGAAAATTAAAGGAAAGGCCATGCAGGTAATTCAGTATAGAAAATTTGAAAACTTTGACGAGCTTAAAGCTGCTTTAGAAGAACTTTATTTAGATAATAGGTCTGTTTCTTCTCTTCAAATTGAGTTCAATCAATGTAGGCAGGGTTTCAATGAAAGTGCTAGGGATTTTGGTTTAAGGTTACAAGATATTTTAAGGGAGTTGATCGATGCAACTATAAAACAAATTGAAATACCAGATTCTAATGTTTATTGCTCAAAATTACTTAATTATCAAGCGTTACATATTTTTCAAGAGGGCCTACATCATGATTTAAAAATTTTAATAAAGGCTAAACAACTAAAGACGTTAGAATTAGCAATTTCGGAAGCCGTTGAGGAAGAAAAGTTATTAAATTCATCCAAAAACTTTAAATCAAATTTTAAAAAGCCTAATAACTATTCCTTTCGTCCCACATCCCATATTAAATCTATTCCGACAACATACAATTACTGTAAAAAGTTAGGGCATAGCATTTCTGATTGTAGGAAGCGTATCCATAATGAACAATCTAAATCTCAAATTAATATCGTAGATAGGGCTATCGATGAAAGTGGACCTAGTACTAGTAAAGTTTTCCCAGACACAAACGATAATTCTTCTAGCCTCGTAAGAGAGCTAAAAAAGGCTCACCTTTCTTGCATTAATAGTTCCAAACAGAATCTAGCTTTTGTAAATATCGAATGTTTGCGTACAATAACAGATCGTATAAACTTGTTAGTAGACACGGGAGCAGAAGTGAGTCTTATCAAACTTTCAGTTTTACAAAATGATTTAAGAATTGATCATACAAATGAGGATAAGCTCAAATTATGTGGTGTATCTGGAAATAGTGTGAATGCAATAGGTAGGATTATTATAAAATTTAGATTAGGCGATAGAATTATAAGTCATAGCTTTTACGTAGTCGATAATACAGTGCCCATTAGAGGTGAGGGTATTTCAGGATTAGATTTCTTGAAAGAAATTAATGGAAATATAAATATTAAAGAATCTTTAGTTAATTTCAATAGGGTTTCTTTGCCATTAAATTTTGCGAATACTCTAATTAGTTTAAAACCACGCACTGAATCTGTAGTGCAGGTGTCTACATTTACTAATGATACAGGAATTATGGAGAAAACAGAATTGAAAAGTGGCGTTTTTATCAGTAATACCTTAGTATCTCCCCATAATTTTAAATGCTTTGTAAATATTGTTAATACAAATGAATATGAAATTAAATTAGATTTACCTAAGTTTAAATTAGAACGAATAGATATTTTAGTATCCATTAGTTCAGGGCTTATAGGAAATACTACAATAAATAAGGCTATAAATTTTAAATCAGATAGAATAAAAATTATTTTAGATAAGGTTAATCATGAAAATTTAAATACAGAGGAGAAATCCATCTTAAAGCAATTATGTAGGGAATATAATGGCA